CTATCAATTTTTAAAATGAGTGACTTTTGAAGTAAATTAAAGTTCTACTCAAAATATTTCCAAGGTGCCAGTGTGCTCATTAGCTTAGAGACTGCAGATACGAACAACTGCATTTTAAGGGAATTCAAGGAAATCATTCTTGACTATAAATTCTGGACAGAAAAGAGTTCATTATTTTTATTATTTTATTTCAATCACTAGTAAACACTGTTTTCCCTCCCAACTCAAGTATGATGCATAGCTATGAACAGGGGTGTATTTTAAAAACCATTGTATTACTCCATGACCACTTTCCATCCCTTTCCATCCGAGCACAGAAGCTAAATCAGGTCCAAATGAAGTGCTATTATTCCTCCAGGAGTCATCTCAACTGGATACCAAATGGGGCTTCAGTTTTTCTGAAGTTTTCAAAAATCCTAAGTAAACAGAGCTTGAGCTTTAAAGTTAGGCACCGTATGCCTAATCCTAGTTCTGACACATGATAGGTAAATTTGGACAAATAACTTAATTGTTGGGAGTCAACTAACAGCCGTCCCTTGACACAGTTGAGACGGATGAGATGCATCTGCACAGCAGAGGCAACCATGGCTGGATTTCCTGTCTATCTCTCCTTGCATGTTTTTGTTTGCGATTAATAGGTGGTGGGATTTTTAGACACCTGTATTTCAGGTCCAGTGATCTGCAGAATTCCAATGAAGTTGTACAAAATAATTTCTTGGCCATAGAACAAAGTCCCCCCTAATGGGGGAGCCTCTGAATGTCTAAAAGTTGATGGAGTAACAGCTCCTCCTCTACCTTGGACAGGAATCTATATTAATTAGAATTATACAGGTAAAGAAACAGGAGAAGCTGGTTACCTATTACAAACTAAGCACGCAGAAACAATTACCAAGGAGTTAGAGTTCATAGTACATAAAGAAATATTTTAGACAGAAAGATAGATAGCTAAGTTGGACATCACAAAGGCCTTATAATATATTTCCTATAACCACTGTTCAGTCTAGCGTGTCCTTTTGCCCCATGCCAAATTCTAAGAACTTTAATAAACAATAAGACATTTAAACTCTGTACACACAGCTACCTCTAATTGTCTAATTAATGGCTCTCCTGGTCAAAATAACCTTCGTTTAACATAACTGAATCTATGGAATTTCCTGTACTTTTCCTAGTTACCTCTGTATTAATTTTTCTGCTTAACTGATCATGCCATATACCTATTATGTTACAGTCTCTATAAAAATAAAGCCTCAATCAAACTCTGTGAGTTCAGTCAGACCCACAGAGGCTGGCTATTCTCCAGCATCCAACTGGGTGTCTGACTCTTTATTTGTCGCCTGCGCCATCCATCCTTCGGGGACCCTGAGACCTGCCAAGCACTTAATTTTCAAAACAACTTTAGAGAAGTTTCAAGGTGTAATATAAGTACCTCAAATGTACAGTTTGATGATTTTTAGTAAATTTCCATTGCTGTGCAACCATTTCCAAATTCTAGTCACCCCATAAAGTTCTCTTACGCCTGTTTGCAGCCAAACCCGGCTCCCAGCCCCAGCAATCACTGGTCTGCTTTCTGTAGCCACAAATTTGCCTTTTATAGAAATTTCATGTAAATGGAATTGTACAATATGCAGTGTTTTGTATCTAGTATGATGGTTTTTAGCTTCATCGATGTTGTATCATGTGTTGTTTCATTTTATTGCCAAGTACTATTCATTACATGCGTATACTACACAGTTAGCTCACAGACTACTGGCCATTTGGGTTGTTTCCACTTTTTGCCTGTTACGAGTAAAACTGCTATGAATATTTGTATATAAGTCTGTGGCTATGTCTTTTCATTTCCCTTGGGTGTATACCTAGGATTGGAATGCAGAGTATGATAATTTTATGTTTAACTTTTTGAAAGACAACCACGCCATTTTCTAAAGTGTCTCACTCCACACTTCCACCAGCAATGTATGAGGGTTGCAGTTTCTCCACATCTCCACCAACGTGTTATTTTCTGTCTTAATTATAGCCATTCTAATGAGTATCAAGCAGTATCTCGTTATGATTTTAATTTGAATTTTCCTAATGATTAATAATGTTGAGTACCTTTTCTTGTGCTTATTAGCCATTTGTAAATCTTCTTTGGTAAAATATACATTTGAATATTTTTTCTTTTTTAAAAATATTTTATTTATTTATTTTTTAGAAAGAGGGAAAGGAGGGAGAAAGAGAGGGAGAGAAACAGGGTGGACAAGAGAAACAACAACCGGTTGCCTCTTGCACGGCCCCCAGATGGGGACCTGGCCTGCAACCCAGGCATGTGCCTTAACTGGGAATCCAACTGGGGACCTTTGGTCCATAGGCCAGCACTCAATCCACTGAGCCACCAGCCAGGGCTACATTCAAATATTTTACCCACTTTTAAATTAGACAGTTTGTCTTATTATTATGTGTTCTTAGTGTATTCTGGATATAAGTCCTTTGTTGGACATGTGATTTGCAAATATTTTCCTCCTATTCTGTGACTTGCCTTTTTGTTTCATTTCATTTCTTTAAAGACTTTATTTATCTATTTATAGAGAGAGGGGGATGGAGGGAGAAAGAGAGAAAGAAGGGGAGAGAAACTTCGATTTGAGCCTTGCCAGGTAGTTCAGTTGGTTAGAGTGTCATCTCAATATGCCAAAGTTGCAGGTTCAGTCCCTGGTCAGAGCACATATAGGAGTCAACCAATGAATGAATCAATAAGCGGAACAAAAAAATCGACGTTTCTTTCTCTCTCTCCCCCACTTCCTCTCCCTCTCTCAAATCAATAAATAAATTTAAAATAGAAACATCGATGTGAGAAACATTGACCGATTGCCCCTCGCCCACCCCCAGCTGGGTACCTGGTCTGCAACCCAAGCAGGTGCTCTGACCAAGCGACCCCTCAGTTAGTGGGATAATGCTCAGTCCACTGAGCCATACCAGTCAGAGCTACTCAGCTTTTCTGGTGCTTTTGTGAATGAAATTGTTTTTCTAATTTCATTTTCAGATTGTTCACTAATGACATATATAAATATATTAATTTCTGTATGTAGATCTCATATTGCTGGACTTAATTTTTTAAAACTCCCATTTCCTCATGTGTAAAATGGAGATACCCAACTGGTAAGATTTTGTGTGGAATAATGTACGTAAATCTCTCCTGAAGTCTGGAAATGAAGCTCTCTCCCTGACCCCAAATGCAACCACCTAAAATGTGGGGCCACTGTATTTGGAGAAAAGTGAAATGACTACAATGCACCTGGTACAGAGGCAGGAAACGGTCACCAATAGTATTATCTCTGAATTTGCATAACCAAGGGATTTTGCTGCATTTTCATTAGTGTAGTAAATAGATGATTGTCGATATTTTCTACCATCTGTATGTATTGTTTTTATAAGCAGAAAAAAACAACAGGTGTTATTTCTTAAAAAGTAAACATTAAGCCCTGGCCGGTGGGCACAGTGGGTTGAGCACCATTCCACAAACTGAAAGTTCACCTGTTTGATCCTCAGTTGGGGCACATGCATGGGTTGTGGGCCAGGACAGGACAGGTCTCCGGTCCAGGCAACTGGGCAAAGCTTCTCTCACACACATCGATGTTTCCCTCTCTTTCTCCCTCCCTTTCCCTCTCTCTAAAAAAAGTGAAATCTTTATTTAAAAAGTCAAAATTAGTACTTCAAAAGAAAAAAGGTAGGGCATTAGAGGTAGAGAGCACGTTTAAAAGGAGGGAATTAAAAAGTAGTGAGGAATAGAATACAGGAATAAAATGGAGTCACTATGATCAAGCTGCTAAATTACTGAAAAGTAGGCTGAGACATGAGGAAATGATTCTATTCTTGCCTTAACTAGCCTGGGGACTTAAACTTTTAAACTTTTCAGTTGTGTTTTAATGTCTGGAAGTATATTAATTCCATAGATGACTATCTCAACAATTTAGGAAAGAATGTCCCATTATTCAGACCACTAGATACTTGGAAGATTACCATTTTGGACCAACCCAGAAACTAAGAATGCAGGACTGATTCTTCTCAAGGATGTCCTTTTTTACTTTAAGAAGTCTCAGCTTTTCTTTCTCCTTTGAAACACTCTGGATATTAACTAGCTGTTTTTTCAGTTTGCAAACCCTAAGACTCTTGAGTATATCTTTGTCCTTTATTTCTAGCCACAGCCTCCTGGTTCTTTGAGAATTTGGTTGACAATTGCTACCACTGAATGGATGCTTTTTCTATGCAGGTAGTTTTCTTCTTAAAACACACAGAAATAGATTATCCCCATACACAGAGAAGGGTATGCCCAAATCAGAGAACTCTTGAGCGGCAGGGCCAGATTTGAAACCTAGGTTGTCTGATCTCAAAGCTGAGACTCTGGGTTGAAATGGGTGCATATACTTAAGATGTGTGATGATGAAGAGTGTTCCTGCTGGAAGTGGTGTGCGATGAGGCTGGAAATGGAGGCACCCTCTCACTTGACTAAGTGCAAGTTAGGCAAAGAAGGATTGGGTTGGAATTGGAGGTATCTGTATAAACGCATGATTTCAAATATATGTGCATATCCATTCCAGCTCTGTTCACTGAAAAGGCCTATAAGCAAAGGCACACGAAGCCATGTTCAATACTGCGACCCACAAAGACCTCCAAGTTTGCTCTCCATGCGGGCTGTCTTTGCCACATTCCACTGTTATCTCGCGACAAGCCCTGTGTCCTGCCTGGGCCGGGGTAGGCAACTCTCCGCACTCCAACAGCACTTCAGGGATACGACAGCAGCGTTCACAAGTCAGCTCGCAGCTACACCCAGTGAAGCGCCGGAAACCAGAAGCAGAGGGCGTCACCCAGATGGGCGGAGACAGTGAGAGCGAAACTGGAGCCGGAGTTGAGGGCGGGCCCCAGCGCTCCTCCGTTTCTTATTGGAACTGACCGCTGTCAGTCTCGGCCTCCTCTTTCCGTCCCCACCTTTTCCGTGCGGGCTGTCAGTTAAATGACGGGCGGGGCCGAGTTGGCTACTTCCGGGAGGGGAACAAAGTTGAACCCGACGAGGTTCTACGGGGAGGGAGGAGGAGGAAGAGGAAAGAGCCGGGTGGCGGCTGCTGTAGGTGGCAGCTGTAGGTTGTTCAGCGGCATCGGCTATTCTTTCCCAGCGGACGATGGACAGCCAGGGCAGGAAGGTGGTGGTGTGCGACAACGGCACCGGGGTATGATCCTCATGGGGAGGCCGCGGTGGCGATGGGTGCAGGCGGGAAGGTGCGGGGGACGCACGGGTTCTCCGCGCCCGGGGATGCACCCGGGGCCCTCGAGCCTCGGAGCCCTCGAGCCTCGGAGCCAAGGGGTACGGGCAGCCCTTTCCGCCTCCGTGGGCAAGGAGAGCAAGGAATGTGGTCTCCCCGAGCTTGCCACTCCCTCAGCACTCCGGGTCGAGGCAGCAAGCGAGGCGGGCATTGCTCGGGGATCTCTCCTGCTGCCCGAATGGACTGGTTCCTCGCTCCACCCGCGGCAGTTCGGATAAAGGGTCGGAGGCGTAAAAGACTGGGTTTGTGTGTTTGAGAAGGGCTTCTCTTCCCAGGGTCTCTGGTGTGTAAAAAGGGAAGACGTAGAGGCCTTCCTCTTCCTGTGTAGATACCGAACTGGAGACAGGAAACGGGTGTAGAAAAAAAAAAGGGAAGTGTTGTCAATGCAAGCTTCAGCCCTTAAACAGTTTTGAGGGTTGTTGTTTTTTTTTTGTCTTTGAGGGAAGTGGATGCCCTATTGGCTGTGCATAACTTACTTTTTGTTCTGCATGCTGGGGATTTGGCTGACGGGCAGCCGGGCAAGGACCAGCCTGTTCCCATTGAATGATCTTGGACTACTTGCAACCATCAAGGGGTCCAAGTGTTAATTTTACTGACCTTGGGGGAGATAAGCAGTTTTGCCGCCTTCCCGCTCCCCCGTTTTTTCCTCTTAGGTACAGGTTACAGATAATGTTAGTTTTTAAGATTCTAAAATGCAAATAATTGTAAAAAATCTGAGTAAAACATTGATTTAGAAAGTTATTTGAAAGTTATTTCAAATGCCCTCCCCCTTTTAAATAAATGTTTTTTGAATAACCAAGTCAGCAAATTAGAAGACAGAAATGTTACTTATTTTGGATGAGTTCCATAGTGATAATTTTCTCCTACATTACAGTGATGTCTAACTATTTTGGAGTTGCATATTTTGTGATCTTTCTCCCCCCGTTCCATAAATGTGACATGAATTTTAAAAGATTTTACTTGAACTTTAAAACACTTTACAAGCTGGATTGTTGAGGGGGAGAAAGACCTACTATTCACTGCCATAATACTTCCCTTGATGGAATGTTAGATTTTAATAAGCAATAATTATACTGGCTTTATCTGAACTTAGTTAAAAATGAGCTTGAGTAATAAATGTTATCATATAATGGGACATACAAAATGTAATACTTAGGAAAAAAGAGGCAGACCAATGCTGTGGAGAGACATCTAAGGTTTACTGTTAAGTTTTAAAAAATCCCATTTGTGTGTGTGTTCTTTATTAAAGATATTTATGTGTTCACAAACTAGTATGTGTACATGCAAGTTTTGGAGGGGCACATGAAATGTTCATAGTGGATACACGTGAGTTGGAGATCATGGAGTGATGGTAGTAGATGAGGATTTCGTGACTCTTCTATACAATTGGGGAAATGTTCTTTGTTTTTTTAACAAGACATGTATTATATTATCTTTAAAATAAAGAAACTATAAGCATTTCTTACTTTTACAGTTAGTACACAGTTAAAGGTGTTTTTTTTTAAAGGTTAGTCTGAAATCGACCTCTAATTAAATTTAAAGCCTTAAAAATTGAATTTAAAACCTTTTTTTAAAAAAAGATTTTATTTAATTTTAGACAGAGGGAGAGAAACATCAATCAGTTGCCTTTTGCAAGGCCCCAACCGGGGACCTGGCCCTGAAACCCAGGCATGTGCCCTGATTGGGAATTGAACCAGTGACGTTTTGGTTTGCAGTACTACTGAGCTACACTAGTCAGGGCTAAAACATTTTGTTTTAATATGCTAAATACTGTGTTTAGAAATCTGAGCCAGTTATATTTTAATGTATTCCTCCTTTTTGAAGGGTGATGAACCTTGTGCTTTTCATGAGTTTTGTGATACTCAATTAGTATAGGAATGTTAACCATGAGCTCATTTTTATGTCACGGTTTCATTAGTTTAATTATAGTATTAGGAAGCTGATTGTATATTATTGATTAGTCTCATTCTAATTCATAATTTAAGAATCTTATTTAAGACAAAAGATAGTTACTATGACATGTAGAAAAGGTATATGGTTCAAACAAAAATGTACCTATTTGGTGTTACATTTCTGATTTTTAAATTTTATTCAGATTTTGTATAGACACGATTGACTTCAAATGAAGAAACAGTTATAATATGTAGCCAGGAATGCTGTGATATTTCTGAAAACTTAAGAGGATTAGGAACCACTTAGATTCTATATTCTGTTTCATAGTCATCTTGATTTTATTTAGTTACCTGAAGGTATAATGATTCCTTCACAATTAAATATTAAACAAGATGTTCAAATTTAGTTTCTAAAAACTTGTGGGAATAGTTGTTAACCTAAAGCAACTTCCTCTGAAACATTTTAGGTTTTAAAATTTTAATTATAGGCAATTTGAGAAGTTGATTTTTTTTTTTTAACTCTTCTGGCAGGCCTTAAGTCAAATGCTATAAGGGTAGGTGAGTTCTTACGATCACGTGCCAGATGTTGGTCCTCGCTCCTCTTCCTTACTAGCCCCAACCAGTTTCTCTCCGTAGGGCAGCCTGCAGGAGGAAAACTCATCCAATTCCAAAAATTCATTTGCTTCATTCTCATAACTGTTCAAACCTACTAGCTAAAATTGAACTACTGAAAGTGGCCAGATAGGTGCAAATCTTGGTATCTGCTTCCGTTTAGGTGCCTTTCAAGAGTTCTGCCCAGGCGTCTGGTGTAGTCTGTTACCAAACTTGGGTGTTTTCACCAACAGCAGTGAAGACAACTGCCTGCTGTGTGACTGGTGGTTTTTAGGGTCTGGTGATACAAAGTAGCTTATAATGCTAGGATAATTATTTCATTTGTAATTCACATTTGTAGTTGTGTATGGCCTGCTTTATTCGGCTTAGGCTAATTTATATGTCAAATTCAGAAATGTTTGCAATAAAAATAAATCAAAAACAAATTTGGTCTTACCTTGCAAAATGTTGTGGAATAAATAGAATAAATATTTTTGTTGTGTAAGATCAGAATAATCACTGTGCAATTAAATTAATGCACCAGTACCATCAGATACAAATACAGTTAAGCCCAAGTAAAGCTTTATAAATCTGTTGTGTGTTTTTTTTTGAGAGAAGGAAGGTAATTTTAAAGTAAATATAGATGACTTTTTTCATTTTTGCTTGAAAGAACATTATACTGTGAGTGTTCTCACCATTTGATGACTCAGTAGGAAGTAAGAGAGCCAGTTTAAACCACAGTGCTATGAAGAAGAAACTATATATGGTAAAAATCTATTTCTTAAACACGGCCTTACTGCACACAATGAGAGAACTAAGTCTCCAAGTCTTAAAATGATGAGTGGGGGAGGAATTTCAAAGCTTAAAATGATACCAAATGAGTAGTTCAGAAAAGAACATTTTTCTTACATTTTATCACATAATGGTTTAGATTTTTAAATGGTTTTAGGTTTTTAAAATACAGACTTTTTCTTTGCAAGAAAGGAAATGCCAGATTGTCAGTCAGTTTATGACATTGAGAAAGAGGTCGTTTTAATTATATTCCTGTTATAGCTGTCAGTGCTTTTACATTTAAAATGCTGTGAAACAGTGTGCTTACTCCCGTTTTGACCGAATGAACGTCTAATGCCTGTAGGAATGCCAGCATCGGATTATTTTGGCAGCAGATGCTTCCAGTAAACTACCACTTAAGCAGAATAATTTCATTAACAAATGAGTGATGTCTTTAATTTGAATTCAAGGCCAAATTTCCCTTTTTTTGTAAAGCACAGGAATGGTAGGTTTTTGTTTTGGGGGGATCTCAGTTTTTGTGTACTTCCGGCACTTGGCAAATATTTTGTCCATTAAGATATGCTCAAACAAGAATTTAAGATACGAACTACCTATCTGAGCAATTATAACCAGAAAACATTGAGTGATGTGATGATTTCCAGATTTGCCGTGTTACATATTTTTGAATGTGTGGCTCAGAATAAGAAGAGGCAGGTCAACCTTCTCAGTCTCCTCCCTGCTCCAGGACTTAAGCCCTTTCCCAAGCTCTTCCTTCCATTCCTATTTCGATTCCTTTTTTAAGTCATTTGTTTACATTTAATATGCTAAAAATGGCCTTTATAAACCTACTGATTCTTTTTTCAGTCATTCATTTTACAATTTACTTTAATGATAGCTATATTCCTATAAGTGGGCATTTTTAGCCTGGAGTATGGACACTTTCAACACACCCGGTGTCCATATCTGTTCATTACTTTCAGGTGAACATAGAACTTAATATCCACATAGTATTTACTTTCTATATCTGGAATATATGTGTAAATTATGACTAATGCTTATATTAGGCTGATGATCGTGACAAATTTCATGTAGAAATTTAGTGTGTTGGGATAGTGAGATTCTCTGCCCTTCCATATCATTTCATTTCATGTCAGGTGAGCTGAATTTTGACTTAAGAACAAAAGAGAGTTTATGATTTAGAAGAGTATGAGCGGTTTCTTTTTCTTTTCATTTGAATATACTAGAAAATACTAGGTATTATTCTTTTCCTCTGATAATTGTCTCTCCTACTTTTTCTGGATCACATTGATAAGTGTTTTTGTTTTGGTTTTTCTTTAAAGATTTTATTATTTATCTTTAGAGGGGAAGGAAAGGAGAGAGTGAAAGAAATATCCATGTATGGTTGCCTCTCCTGTGTCCCCTGCTGAGAACTGGCCTGCAACCCAGGCATGTGCCCTGACTGGGTATCAAACAACGATCCCTCAGTTCACAGGCCCATGCTCAATCCACTGAGCTACACCCACCAGTCAGGGCACATGGATAAGTTTTTTGAGAAGACATTGTGGAAACATTGGTTAGAGCTTCTGAATTCTGTTATTTTAACACTTTTGAGGTGCTTCACTGTCAACCGTTCAAATGAAGGGGTAGGTATGAGCAAGCAGGTTATTATTGTATGTGCCAGCATACCACACTAACTTCTGCCTTGAAAGGTAATTCGGTAAGAATCGTATTAGAGTTTTAGAAATGGGTGGCAGTACCTGAAAAATGACCTGGTGTTGGTAGCTCAATGGTAGGTAAACTGAGCAGGACTAGGTTTGATGGATTTGAAAGGAAATGTATCTGACTAGTATGCTGTATGTAGGTTCTGATTAATGTGAACTGAGAAGATAGGAATTCAGGTTGTATTGGGAATGTTAAATTTATTAATTTCAGACAGGTTTTTTTTTTTTTTCATAATAGTAGCTTTAATCCGCGTAAGTCATGACTATGTATTTTTAAAGCCCTGTTTATAAAAAAAGACTTGCAGTTAACTCGATGTTCTGGATAGCAGAATGTTCTAGGCCATTTATAATTAACTGGTTCACAAATAAAATAAAAATTTTATATTTTAGAGGCTTAGTCAAAAGTCCCAGAGTTTAAGATTGTTGCTGAGTTTTAACACCACCAAACAAAACAGCTCCTCGTCCACTGGAGGTCTCTGTCAGAGGTGGGTACAGTTTCTGCACACTCTGTGTAGCCACTGTCCCGGCTGCGTTCAGACACCGCTTTTCTCAGCTCTTTTGAGAAATGGTCTTGTGCCTGATGCTGTGGAACTAGACATTTTCAGTATTAAGCATATTTTCTATATTAAAACAGTCATGATATCATACTCTGAAATCAGCAAAGTTTTTAATATTTATGGATTAATTTTTAATGTGCATTTACTATGTACCACACTGTTCTTGTCACTTGGGATTTATCAGTAAAACAACAAAGAAACCAAAAAAATCCTTGTACAATAGCTTACGTTGATTGAATACTTAGTAGAGGGTGCAGATTATGATTACTTGCCTTATATGGCTTTTTCCTCCCACCCTGAAGGATTTTTTTCCTATGTACAAACTTCGTGTCTACTACAGGGATATTAGTAATTATAATTATAATAAAAAGGAGGAGATGGGGGCTCTGATACTCGGTTTTCAGAGCAAGTCGTGGAGCTTAGGAGCCCGTCACAGTCGGTGCAGAGCCTGGCAGGGCCCTCGCAGGGACGGGGAGTCCTTCACCTTCTCCATCAGAAGGCAGTGGAGACAGAGTGGCCATGCGCCCCACCAGAAACAGAAGGCAGCCATGCTGAATGGCACAGATGCAGACCCCTAGCTCTACTCATCTCCACAAGCCTGCCCCCACCTGTCTGCAGCTGGCCCGAACGCTGTTGCAGAGCTCCTCCACGCACGCTGGAGGCCTCCATTCAGGAGTGGGCAGGGCCGGTACATAGGAGAGGTGACCTGAAAGCTCCCAAATTTAGGCCCCTGCAGAGAAGAGAATCACTTCACTGGTGGGTACCAGGTTTCCAGAACCCTCTCTTGCCGCCAGGACCACTTAGCACCGAAAAGCAGTGGTGACAGTGGGTCAAATGGTGGAGCCCTAGTGGCTGAGAAGCCATAACTATGAGCATTTCTGTGCTGCCAGACGTAGCAGCTGAAGCCAAAATGTTTCTCAGCAGCCTCCCTGAGACCCTTCCTCCCATCCTTAAGTTGTTGGGGTTTTTTTTTAATATAAATATTTTATTTATTTATTTTTAGAGAGAGGGGACAGGAAGGAGAAAGACTGGGAGAGAAACATCAATGTGTGGTTGCCTCTCATGTGTCCCCCACTGGGGACCTGGCCTGCTACCCAGGCATGTGCCCTGACTGGGAATTGAACCAGCAACCCTTTGCTTCACAGGCCCGCACTCAATCCACTGAGCTACACCAGCCGGGGCCCACCCTTAAGTTTTTAGATGCATTTTCTTGCAATGTCTGCTCTTAGAAATGAGACTGAACAGACCATATTATTGGTGTAAGAATTTTAAAACCCTTGGTTCTATTTTCAGTTTTACTAGTTGTTAAATCTCCTAGTATGTATATCAGTTTCTTATCCATAAAATGGGAGGATCATCGGAATCACTGATATGCCCTCGTTGGAGAAGTACACTGTCTGAATATAAATTATGCTACCTGGTATTTACTAAATATGTAAACTGCAAATAGGTCAAAATACCTAATTAGTATTAACATGATGTTAGTCCAGATGCCGTTGGATTTCTCCCATTTTGGAAAATGAGATTGCCAAAGTGAATTGCCGGAGATGAATGAACATGTGCTTTAGAATTAAAATTTGAACATTTCTCTCTAAAATCCTCAGCATTTGTTGAGTGAATTTGTCCATTCCCCAAATACTGCTTGTGTGACCACTGTGTGCCAGGACCTCTTTGAAGCATCAGGTTCCAGCTTGAACTGCTCTGCTGAGCCCCTGCTTTCCGGAGGTTTGCTCTGTGGTGGGGGGACTCAGGCACAGAACACGCAGTCTCCTGCTAAATAAACGTGAGCCCCAACAGCGGTCGGTTCCATGAAGGGCATAAAATGAGATATGATGGATTGAATGACTGGTTTGGGATTTTTGAAACCACCAACAGTTTAAAATACTATATAAATGCAAAGTGATTTTTTCAGACACTAGTTTTCAATGGATATAGCAAATGCTGTGACTGACTCACTCTTACTGTTCTCTTCCAGTTTGTGAAGTGTGGCTATGCAGGCTCTAACTTCCCAGAACACATCTTCCCAGCTTTGGTTGGAAGACCTATTATCAGATCAACCACCAAAGTGGGAAACATTGAAATCAAGGTAATGTTTTATTTATCGATAAATGAGGATCAAAACTTATGACATGTTCTTGAATTAGGTAGTTTAAAAATGTGATGCCATGAAAAGCAAGCGGGAGGGCAGAATTTCTTAACTTTTTAATTAATACTTGAAAAGAGGCACAAAAACTGAAGTTAATTTCATCTGATTTTAAGTGTGGCTTGATGCCATTACTCTGGATGGAGTAAAATACTTAAGATTTCTCTATGAATGTTAATTATAATTTTTAAAAGAAATCAGCCTGGCATTTTTATGTTTTTCAGCTCCATATATTTGTCATTATATATGTTAGTGTTCCTTTGGGACCTTAGACTTTTCCTTTCCATGTTCTCATGGCCTGATTCCTATACTTTTTTTATATAGCTAGTCAGGAAAACACAGGACGTAAATCTTACCGTTTCGTCTTCTCACTAATGTAATAACTGGTTTCCATGATGTGCAGAAAGAAGCTGTCCAGGTCTTTATTTGGCCTTGCATTATTTGCCTTACCAGAAAGAGAGGAAGGAAAGTTATCTTTGCTCACTGTACTTGACACAGGAGACTCAGCAATAAGGATGAGGGATTTTTGTTCCACATTAAAGGGATTGGAAATCAAGTGGGGGTTGTATTGTAGAAGAAAAAAGAAACAAATCAACCAAAAGGACTGTGGTCATCAATTGATATAAATTCTTTAGATGGCTAGGGGCCAGGTTTTACAAACTGCAGTCGAATTCTGGGGCAGACTGAAGTATTTGTAAACAAGCTAGCATTGTTGGTCCTGTCTGGACCGTTTTGGGCAAGTCTTCCGTGACCTGTTAGATTGAGTCATTTGAAATACGAGTTCGGGTGAGCCTCTTTAGGGCATTGTTTGCACTCTCTAGGAAGGTGGTAATGGGTGGTAGAGATTCGCTACTTGATAGCTCTCTGTTCTTGGGATTAGAGAGTTAAATTACGCAATGAATAAAAGTACAAATTGAAACTTAGGTTCTGTGTTAATTTTTTAAAGACTTAAAATGGTGAATTATTATACTGGTTTCTTGTTATGTTACCAATAATCAAATGGCATACTTGATATGAGCATTTTTATTTTAGAGTCTGTTTTTGGAGGTAGTGGAATTTATTATGGGATTCGTTATTCTTTTTTTGTGAATTCCTTTCATTCTGATTGAATTCATTCTTGAAAGAACTTTGACTTAAAATTTAGTTAATTATAGTGATATGGATTAACTTTTTAAATGGAGTTGAAAGGTTTTTTATTCAGAATCAGACTTTTAAAGAACTGTTTGTTAAGGTACTTTATTGATAACATTTTTGATGTATTAAGATATATCACATATAGCTATTTTTATTCTTCAACATAGGTGCAAATAATTACATATCTTTTAACTCCCACTCTCCTCCTTTTCAAGGCCAAGTGATAGAAATGAACTGGTCAGTATACTAATGAGACATTTTTCACTGAGGATTTCCCTATAGCATTACTTGCAGAGTTTGTCATTCTGTGTTCTGTTAGCCCAGTTCTGTTCAGTCTGCTTAGTCTTTTATGTCTTTCAAGTTAAATTGTTCTTCCAGTAGAAAACACAGACCTGTGTCAAATTTAACTTGATTGCTAGAGCTTGGAAAGACAACCCCAAACTTACCTTCTGCTTACTCAGCTAGATCTGTCCTGTTATCCTTTATTTTCCTTAATGTAAGGTTCTTAAATTCAGTAATGAATTTAAAGAAACTTTTTGGAATTTCCCTGTCTAGTGGATTGACTTATACTTTTTGTGTCTTGTTAGCTAAAATGTGGTAAACTAAAAAAAAAAAAAAAAAGGAAATTTAAATTGTTTAATAAGTTAAGTATTTTCATTCAGAAGTAATAACTTTCCGTGTTAATATGGCCCTAATTATTAACTCCGTAAAATAGAGTGGTACTGCATCTGACCTCAACCTAATTTTTCTCTATTGCTTGTATGTTTAAAAATTTCAGTGAGGATTTTATTTAGGCCTTTTCTGACTCTTACTTCTACCTTCTCTCTCTTCACCTTTCTTGACCTGTTGAAGTAGAATAACAAAAAGATGGTAAGTGAGGTTACACACGTGCTCTCTGTTTGTTTTCCACTTTTGCTCGGTGGGACAGTAGTTGTTGTTTTGTGTCCCTTTAGTATTGGGGAGGGGGGCATTTCCATATTTTAATTTTAAGTCCTTTCATCCTATACTTTCCTGATTGCATACAGTGGACCAAACCAGAACTGATTACTAACATAGTTTTGAACTGTTTTCCTTGTGTTTCTTATAGATAAATGTTATAATTAAAACGGAATGTGGTGTGTGCATAACATTAGAAACCAAATGACTTTGTATAGGATATGTGTGAGCCAGAAAATTGGGTGACATTGTTACATTTGGATAAATTCACTATATCGACTAATGTTAAACTGAACATTGAATATATTCTAGTTACAGTATCATGTATTTTTACTAAAGTGAGTAAAATTTCAATATGCAAATGAAATACAGATAGTAAAGTGGGGGTGGGGATTTCCTATACTATCCTTATTGATGAGCAGATTTTACAATATTATCTGAGGAAAAATAAGAAAAAAATGAGAGTCTTATATAAGGCTTTATCATAAACAACAGCTTTCCCCCCTAAATAAATGTGGCACTTTCTTCTCTTGAACTAGAAGCTTCTTGGATACATCCCAGGCAGTTTGCTCTTTCATTATAGTTTTCTTTCTGTGTTGGTGTAAGTGCTATATTTGTAAGCAAATATTTCATCTTCGAAAAAGATGAATATCAGGCATTTCTACTGATACATATTTTAACTAGTAACTAACTTTGAGAAGTTTTCTTTTGAATAAGCAAAAAAAGTAGAAATTCTTATATTTATTCTAAACAAAACATCATGCCTTTCTCTTAAAATCATAAGGAGATTTAAAAGTCTGCCTGTAGAGAACAGTATAATTTCACAAATGTTTTTTTGAGGAATTTCTTCTGGGAATTTAATTGTGGTTTTAAAGTGTGTTTGCTCAATTTTTTAATTTTGAAGTGACATTGTTCAAATGATTCTTGGCAAATATAATCTATATTGCTTGCTTTTCATAATATATAAGTGATTTTGAAACAGCATCTCAGAACAGTTACTGTAATTTTTCATTCTTTCAGGTAATAGGTGGTGGTTTAGGCTTGAGGTCCATTGATGAGGTGGGTGGTAAAAATCTAAGGCCTGATCTGATCGCTTGTGACTTGATTCTGAGGTATGAGGGCAGGCTTCATAAAGCTCTTAAAATTTTTGGTTTTGGAAGTTGAAATGTACTGAGGAAGACTGTATGTTTTAGGATTTTTTCAGTTATAATTTTTACATACAGATAAATTTAGGTAGCTTGAGCTACTCATTGTGCACTAACTCAGTAAGTTAAAAATTGTTTTCTTCCATTTTCAACGTTGTCTTGTTCAGAGGGATGGTGAGACACTCGATGGCAGGCATTTCCTTCAGCCGGGCCTATGAGCAGCGGTCCCCAGCCCTTTGGCGCCAGGGGCCGCTCTCGTGGGACACAGTTTTTACCAGTCCGTGGCCCGAGGACTAGGGGCCCCTGCTTTAGAGTATGTATGTCCTAGAAGCAGACACATGAACTTATGTTTTTAGTTGGCATTGGGTCAGACATATGTAAGCCCCTATTCTTGCATGAATTAAAAGTAAATATTCTGATGACATCTGTTGAAATGTAGTTGTGAATGTATATTGATTTATGTAAGCCATCTAATTATCTAGTGTATTACCTTGTTCATAACAAAAATATAGTCTAAAGGAAACTAACAAAATTTTGTGTTAAATTATATTTGTTAATGGCCAAAAGTAATATGCTGTATTTTGCTGTGTGTAATGCTTGCTCACCCATGTTTTTGACCCAAACTTTCAGGGGTAAAAAACAGCATTTTAATATTTTGATTCAGTTATTTATTTATTTACTCATTTATATTTAGATACTTGTTTTTGTATTATAAAGGAATTTTAGCATTTAACATGATGGTACAAGAGATTTTATGCAACAAATAATTACAAAACACAACTACGGATACAAGGTGTTTCAGGTACTACCCATGTATGATGCATACATACCTTTATTTTTCCCTCAAAAATTTTTGCTGGGGGGGGTATGCATTATGCACAACAAAACAGAGTATATACTTGCAGGTTTGGATATCACCCTTAACATTTTTTTAAAGAAGTGTTTAGAATATAGAGCAAGGTTGAAAGAATAAAACCCTATACCCTCACGTAGATTCTGACATTAATAGTTGCTATACTGATACCACATATTTATCCATCTAGCCACCCATCAGTCTGTCCTGTTTTTTGATGTATTTCAAAGTATCAGTATACTTCTCCCTGAGTAATTCAGTGTACACATCATTAAGTAGATTTAACAAATACAGATTTTCGGTTTTGCATTTTTATCAGATAATTTCAAATAGTTAATATTTAAGAAATTTGAGTGGCCCTGGCTGGTGTGGCTCAGTAATCGAGCCCCAGCCTCAGAACTGAAAGGTTGCTGGTTCCGTACACCATCAGGGCGCATGCCTGGGTTGCGGGCCAGGTCCCCAGTTGGGGGTATACAAGAGGCAACCAAAGGATATTTCTCTCCCACGTTGATGTTTCTTTCTCTCACATTTTCCCTTTCTTCCCTTCTCTTTAAAAATAAATAAATAAAAATCTTTTTTAAAAATTTCAGTATTAAGTTGTGGTAAATTAACTTTTAAAAAACTAGTTGCAACACAGAAGCTTTAGAGAACATTTCTAGCATCTGTTCTAACTTTGTTTCCCCTTTTTGTTGTTGCTTTAGTGGATGTTGCAGAAATCTGTTTTTAAAAAGAGTTCACTGTGGTTTTACCTGTGATCTTTTGTTTTGATCAAAATGTTACTTTTGTTTTAAACTCATATTTAAACCTCGATTTAAACTCGTATTTTGCTCGTGTCATTTCCCCATGTTTTAAATTTTAAGTATTATAGCAAATAGTTCTATATCTGATGCTAGTTTTTAAAAATTCATCAGTACACATAGAAGTTAGAATTATGTAATGTCTTTATTAGCTGATTTCTAAAAGTTTAAGTTCCAAGACATCGTTAGCCTTACTATACATTCGGAATTTGGCTTTTCAAAAGTGGGCCATCTTAAGTATGCTCATTGGAGACGAGACTTGTGAGTATTCTGCTTTGTGTGTAATAGCATCATTTTCTAGTCTTACACTTCAAGATAAAAAATGCTGCTCGTGAGTTCTAATTTTAAAGAATTATTTCCCCGTTTTATTTATTTATTTATTTTTTGTATCTATAAATTTTCATTCCTTTTGGGGAGGGCATGTTAAACTTAATTTCAATTCTCATTCAGGCATGTAGGTAGAAGTTTGTGAAATCATAAGTTACATAGTACATATATGCATTACTGTAGTGTACTAAAGAATTATCTTTTTTTTGCTCCTTTCATTACGCTTTATAGTATATTCACTCACCGTTTTGATGTTTAATACAAAGGACTGTGCTGCATGCATTGAGCATTTTTCTGCAAGTTGTTTTCCCTGATGTGCTATTTCACATGTCATAGGCCTTGTGTTTTGAACATTGAGCATAAGAGACAAATGAAACCTCCTATAAAACCCTCCAAAATATGAATATGTGGGGTTTGTTTATGTTATTGCTCTTCTTTTGAAAACATATTTATTAAGAGTAAGGTCAATTTATCAATTTAAACCACATCGCACATAAAAATGTATTAAGTTTTGCAAGGCATTGCTCTTGAAAGAAGAGATTTTAACTTGTGGAATGAAATGCTTGATCTGGAAGTGCCTGAAAGATTAAAATTAATTATTCCCAAGTTTTTGGAATATGGGAATATAATTTTCCGAAGGTATTTTATGCAAAATTTGACTGGTCTAAAGCTTTAATACTATAATTTTCTAGGATCTTATGGTTGGCGATGAGGCAAGTGAATTACGCTCAATGTTAGAAGTCAACTACCCTATGGAAAATGGCATAGTACGGAATTGGGATGACATGAAACACCTGTGGGACTATACGTTTGGACCAGAGAAACTTAACATAGACACCAGAAACTGTAAAATCTTACTCACAGAACCCCCCATGAACCCAACCAAAAACAGAGAGAAGATTGTAGAGGTAAGTTTTTAGATAGGATATGCATGTGTTTCTTTCCTTTTTCCTGAAAATGTTTTCTTTTATCTTACTGTTGTTGTAAAAGATAAAGGGAATAAAAGGAATTGTTGTTTTCTCACAGATCCTGTTCACTGAGCACCTAAACTGTGTGCTGACCATTATTTCTGAATAGGCTCTGTTCATAACAGAGTCCTGCTGCCGGGGAGCTTGTGTTCTGGCAGGGAAGACAGAACCCCAAAAAGTGACTTAATTGAGTGGTTTGTTAGAAGATGATAGGTGCTAAAGGGGGGAAAGAGTTGGTTAAAGGAGGTGGGGAGTCGGGGAAGGTTCTGTTTGTACGTGGGGTGTGGTAGGTAGGAGCCCTGCTTGAGAAGGTGATGTTTAAACACAGGCGGGGAGGGAGTTAACCAGGATGTATGGGAGGAGAGCGTTTCAGGCAGAGGGAGGAGTCGGAGTAAAGGTCTTAAAATGAGCACAAGCCTGGCATGATGTTAAGAGTCAGCAAGGAAGCCAGTGTGGGAGAGCAGTAGGAGATGAGGGCAAACAAGTGACAGGCCCAGGTCATCTAGGTTCTTACAGGGAATTAGACTTTTACTTCAAGTAAAATGAAGGGCTCTCACAGGGAAGGGACGTGTTTAGATTTAGGTTTTTGGGGCTGCTCTGCTAAGAGTTGGTCATAGGAAGGCAAGGGTGGGAGAGAGGCCAGTTTGGAGACTTCCAACTATCTAGGCAAAAGGTAATCATTGTTAGGATTGGGGGTGATAGCAGTGGGAGTAACGAGAAGTGGCCAGACGTGGATCTGTTTTGAAGGTAGGGCCAGGAATTTCCTGAGTTATTTGATAGGGTCAAGAGAGGGGATGGCGCCAAAGATTCTGACTTGAGCAGCTGGAGAACAAGTGACCATCGTAAGTTGGTTGGAAAAGACTGAGGTAAGTAGAACAGGATGGGGGGTGGGGGCAGAGATGGATCAGGAGTTCGGTTTTGGACATGTTAGGTCCTCATTAGACATCGACACAAAAATGTCGCGTGCGTGTGTGTCTGACTATATTATTAAGTTCAAGAGAATAGTATGAGGCCGAGGCTATACACTGGGGAGTCATCAAGATACAGATAACGGGCTCACCAAGAAGGTGACAGCGGATGGGTGAGAGGGCTGAGGACCGGGAGGCAGGAGGAGCGGTTGAAAAGGTTCCTGAGATAAGTAGTTAGAGAGGAAGAAGTCTACATTCTCAGTAGTTTGGGTCAGGAACTTTTCAAGGTTGTCTTTCGTTTTGTCCTATGAGGGCAAAACTTAATACCTTTGTATTTCAGCAGCTTTCGGTTACTACTTAATATAAATATTTTGTATCGTTCTATGTCTATGTTTAAATGGTGGGACTTTTGGAAGGGGTTTAGGAGAAATTGTTTTTAGGCAATATTTTTAAAGTCTGAATTAAAACTCAATATTTATTTATTTATTTATTTATTTAAAATAATATTTTATTGATTATGCCATTTCAGTTCTATTCCCCCCTTCATTCCCCTCCACCCTGCACACCCCTCCCCCACCATTCCCCCCTTTAATTTATGACCACGTGTTTCAAGTTCTTTAGATTCTATATTTCCCCTACTATTCTTGCCCTCCCCCCCCCATCTATTTTCTGCCTACCGTCTATGCTACTTATTTTCTGTTAAAACTCAATTTTTATATTAAGTGTTTTAAAAATGTGAGATCATGGTTTTAGGTGTAGATTCCATATCATTCCTATGGTTCTTTTTTTCCCCCTTCTAGCTACCCCTAAAAATGTGAAAGATGGGCTTTACTGTATTAGTTTATATTTTAATTTATTTTACACTTTCTGAATTATTGACAACCACTAATACTTCGTGATAGATAAGTGGTCACTTATCGTTGCTATTTATTTTTAGCAACACATCACAAAATCATGGTGTAGACACAGAAGGCTCTTTCAGAAAGCAACATGATACTGAATGAAAACCACAATGTCTTCCAGATAAAAAGTTAGGGAGCTGACACTGTACCTGGGTCCCTTTTACTGTTTGAGTGAGATATGTATGTGCAAAGGTGACAAGAATTGGTCTCCCTGTGCTCCAAGGTCTCCCCTTCTTTTAATACCTTTTCATTTTTCCTTGAGAGTGCAAACTTGGTTGTGACCAATAATGCCCTACTTTAATTTCTTCCAAAATGTTGTTTTGGTACTAAAATTATTTTTTAATGGTCTTATAAGTAAAAACAAATTCTAACAGACTTTCAAGTCAATATATGCAAGAAGCCATTTTCATCCCTGTGGAGAGGGAATGAAGGATGATGGAAGAGTACCAGTTAGAGTATTGGTTACTGACTGATGAGTTACAAATTTTAAATTCTGTATAATTATAATTGGTCGGTTTAAAATTTCTGAATAGGTAGATATTCAGAATGGTAGTCAGCCCTGCTAGTCAAGGAATGCTCAGTATAACTGACAGAAGTCCTACGTGGTGTCCCAGCCAACCTGTACCACAGGGGGTGAGGCATGATTCGGACTAGAGCAGACCCTAGCAGACGCCTCTTCCCTCCGGTGCAGCGTAGCTGAGAGGGGACCTGCAGCCTGGGCTCCGGTGGGGAGGGCGGGCTCGGCAGCTAAGCAGTTCTGTGTCTGCTGGCTTTCAGGGACTTGGCGCATTTATTTTTTGTCTTTCTGCCCTACTATTTTACTTTTTTTTTTTTTAACTGCTGGAGGTGGTTGGTCTTTGGATTAAAAGATAATTCCCTTAAGGGACATCAAATGCAGAAAGCTTTCTTTCACTCTAATTAGCCATTAACTAAAACAAAACACTCGGAAATCTTTGCTGTTGTAGCACTTATGAAATGCTTGGGGACACAGGGTATATCCGAAAATCTGCCCCTAAAATTGGAGTTGTGTGACGGTGAATGTTAATAGATGCGAAGAGATCTGAAGAGAATGGAGGACTCTTAGGTCTCTTGTATTTTGTCCAGAAACATAGATAATTAAAATATTTAACTTGTAAATACCAGTATTTTTTTCTTTTGTATTTTTAGGTAATGTTTGAAACGTACCAGTTTTCTGGTGTGTACGTAGCCATCCAAGCAGTTCTGACTTTATACGCTCAAGGTAGGTGAAGTGTAACTTTCAGAATAATCAATTCAGCAGACATTTATTCTGTCTTATAGCAAAGAAATTTGATTTTTCAGTAAGTTGTAAATCCCAAAAAAGCATAGTAATTATGTATTTATTTTCAAATATTAATCAAATATTTTTACAATTTTTAAAATTTGTAAAAAATATATATACATTTTAATTCCTAAGTGTAAAAGGATTTCTCAGTTTTTAAAAAAGTAGCAGGTTTCCTGTTTTACATTATTTTGAAGTAAAAATTTTGTACACAGTGAAGAATGATCATGGAATTTGCCTTCAAAATTGGCAGTTAAAAAAAAACAGATCTAAAACGGTTCATAGAAAAGCATGCTTGTGAGATACACCCCAAGTACAAAGAAGGCAGACATTTGGGAGTGCCTTCCCAGCTTTTAAAGTACAGCTTTAGTGGAGGGATTACTTGTTTTCTCTGGACTGCCGTTAGTACTGACTCCCCGTCTATGGGAAATAAAGCGTTGGCTGCCCTGGCTCGGTGGCTCACTTGATTGGAGCATTGTCCTATACACCAGAAAGGGCGTGGGTTTGAGTCCAGGTCAGGGCACATACAGGAGGCAACCGACTGACGTCTGTCTCTATCTGTCTGTCCCTCTCCCCGCCCCTCCCATCTCTACCCCCCTCAAATCAATTTTTAAAAACCTATCCTTGGGAGGATTAAAACATAGGCCATGTGGGGGAGAGCTCTTGTGATGGTCTAGTGAGAACTGTGGGGCTGTCAGCTAGGTGCCACAAGTCTGTGAGGCACTTGACGTGGAAAAGTAACCTCTAGTCTGTCTGGGAAAAGATAGAGAAACAGATCGGTTTGATTCAGCAAGTTGGGGCAGGCTTCCGAAGGAGGTGACTCCTATGTGTCAAGCTGTAGTGCTTCAGGAGTGCGCAGGACGTACTTAGAAAACACACCTTAATGTTAAATCTGACTATAGGTGGATTAGTAAAAATCACCTTGTAAAAATACGTAAATAGTGGGTTTTTTAAAGTCGTCCTTAGTATCACATACAGCTACTTAGAAAACACTTGGGGAGTATTGTGGCGTGTGCCTTACACTGTTGAGTGTAGAGGACAGGGCAGTGGGTGAGCTAGATGCGGGGTCAAGATGAAGATGGAAAGAAAAAGAATACTTTTTCTTTGTTAACGCATGAGCATTAAGAACTGGTGTTTTTCAGTCCTAGTTCTCAGGGTCTGTTTCTTGCCATTTCCTGGAGTAACACATGATTCTACTAAAAGTGTCACAAGAGACACGTGAGAGAATACTGATTTTAGTGTCTGTAATATTAGTAACACTTCAAAATAACAAATAAAGAAATGCTGGCTCCTAGACCATTACATTTGGTGAAGTTCCTAGTTTGGCTTCTATCCTAGTACTCGAAATTTGCTGGCTTCGGTTTTTCCAATATGACTTGATTTAAAATGTCACATTTCTCACACAGGTTTGCTGACTGGAGTAGTAGTGGACTCTGGGGATGGTGTGACTCACATCTGCCCAGTTTATGAAGGCTTCTCTCTCCCTCACCTCACCAGAAGACTGGATATTGCTGGGAGGGATATTACCAGATATCTTATCAAGGTAAGTAAAAGAAAATGTTGTAGACATCAGATTTTTGGCCCTGGCTGGTGTGGCTCAGTGGACTGAGCGCTGGCCTGTGAACCGAAAGGTCTGGTTCAATGTCCCGTCGGTGCATGTGCCTGGATTGTGGGCCACGTCCCCAGTTGGAGGTGTGCGAGAGGCAGCCAGTGGATGTTTCTCTCGCACATCCATGCTTCTCTCCCTCCCTTCCCCTCTCTCTAAAAAATAAATAAATAAATTTCAAAAAAGATTAGGTTTTTTAGTTTGTGTTTACTGACTTAACACAGAGTTAAATGTATCATCTCAGGATTCTAGTAAATCTGCATCACTAGAGAAATGGCCCAACTACTGTTATGCATAAAAATTCCATATGAGATTTATATACATGATCACTGGTATATGAATGAGAATATATCATTTCATTACATAATTATATTGCTATTCCTGAGGAAGGGGTGGAGAGGTATTTCAAGGGTGGAAGAGACCCTAAAACTGCCTCAAACAACTTAAGCAGCCTTTTCTGCCGTAAAACCTTTCTTTGAACAGATCCGTGTGAATGTAGTCTTGGTTGGGTTGACTGTTCTTGTCCTTCCCCACAAAGTATACCGATAGCAAATTAATGATATTTGACAAAAAAAAAACAAAAACGGCCCAGATGTGCCTGACTTTAATATTTAGTGGTTTTCATGGAATGTATCCAGTTTTTAGTGTTTACTGTTTTAAAGTTTACTTCTGGTTGTAATTATACTTTTCTTTAAAACATTGCTGGAGAAAACATATGAAGCTGCTGTTTGGAGGTCTGTGTGTTTTGTTAATGTTTTAAAAAGTTGGGAGTATTGTCTGTACCAGATTTCTGGAGTATGTATCTTCTCTGGGTCAGTGGCTCTCAACCAGCAACCATGCTCCCTTACAGGGACATTTCGCAATGTCTGGAGACATTTTTTGGATGTGACAAGTACAGAAATGCTACTAAACATCCTGTACCGAACAAGGCATCATGCAGTGAGCAGCCCCACAGCAAAGAGCTATGCAGTGTCCAGTTTCGCTGAGGCTGCTGTGGAGGAACTGGTGTGTGGTAGCGATGTGTGTGCAACACACTGGGTTGCACTGAGTCTCCACTTTGATACGGATTCCTTCAGTCTCCAGTTAGAGCAAGTGGAGATGAAGTTAATGAGAGTTACAATACACTTGTTCTGGGCCAAAGCTCTGGCTTAGGGTCACCACCAAAGGGATTTCCTAGCGTGGTCTTCTGAACATAAACACAAAGAATAGAGGATTTGCAATTTCAAGGTTTTTACATTGAAAAGTTCAGTTTTGCGTGAAAAGTTCAGTTGTACCTTTATGGGCATGTTATGGTGTTTTTTTTTTCTTTTGAATTTTTGTAAGTTTATTTGAGCCAGACTGATAATCTGCCAGGAAACACAATCTCAATGCCCCCATGGTTGTTTTTATCTCCCATCAGCAGGTTGAATTTTCTTACTCGTTTGTCTAACATGCTGTCACCGATCTAGTATGTGTCAGACATTGAACTATTCTGATGGAAGCTAAGGATAACACTGTCTAAGACCTTGGGATATCATGAATAGGGTGTTGATTCAGCAGATTGCAAGTTACAAGAATTTAGTACTAAATAATGCTTATTAATAGACTTGAATGTGTTTATCAAAACTATCTAACATAAGTACTCAAACAGTACCCTTTTTGAAAACTAGCTTGTTTTTCTCATTTATTATTTGTGACCTTTTGATTTTGTTCCTCCGAAATTTCTCTGCAAAACTGAAATATAAATTCTTCTGTGGCAGAGTGATATCCCTGCTTCTGAAATATTCAGTAAGAACTAAAAAGATCCGCTATCTATTGCATTTGTTATTGATGTGCCGTATTTAGTGACTAATAATAGTTTTTGCTGAGTTGAACTCGTTCAAATCAATTGTGAATTTACTATTTTCTTGTGTCAGCTGCTTCTGTTGCGAGGATATGCCTTCAACCATTCTGCAGATTTTGAAACGGTTCGCATGATTAAAGAAAAATTGTGTTATGTGGGGTATAATATTGAGCAAGAGCAGAAACTGGCCTTGGAAACCACAGTATTAGTTGAATCTTACACAGTAAGTATTTCCATATATGTGGTTTTTAAAATGAACAACCATGATTATTGGTGTGTGCTAAAGGAGTTTTCTTTGTTTTGGGTTGTTCTCATATGTATGTGTGTGACCTTTAATGTCTTTTTATATTAAGATCCTATGATTTAATTATTCTAGGACATCATACAATGTGAAATAAGAAACATAAATTCCTTTTCTACCTTAGAATACAATTAGTTACAAGGTGTTATTTTGAGATTCTATTACCTGGAACAACATTTTCAACATTTGATTTACAGAATGTTATGTCACTGAAATGTTAATTTACAAAAAATTAAAGTGGGGGTTACATTGTCAAGTAAGTTTGGGAGAGCGTCAGTTTTGCTTTACTTCAGGGCTTCTCAGAGCTTTTCATCTGTGAATGTGGGTGAGTGGGAATGTCGTTTATGTGTTTCTCAGTCTCGTTAGACTGCAGAACTCTTTAGCTTAGGATTTCGTGGGGCTACAGACATTCTTTGGGAAGCGGTCATACTAGAGTAGTATTGCTTTAATTATTCGGTAGGTGGCAGTCTTTTCCTGACTTAGTATTTTCTTAATCAGAGCTTGATGAAAACAAATGTGAACTTGAAATTGTAACTAAAGAGATTTAGAACCTTGTTACAGCTTGCACTAGGGGCGTTGATTCTACCTGAATAATGTATTGCTATCTTAAGTCTGTGATACTCATCTGGGTATCAAGTACTTCCAGATCTCATCTTTGACCTAATTATTACTAAAATAAAATTGAGGAATAGGCAGTAAAAGCAAACGTTCTTAAACCATTTAATTTATGTAAGCTCTGTATATCACAAATAGGTATGAAATAGTCATTTAAAAATACTTATAAACTTGTATAAGTTATATTGTTTTATTTTTAAAAGATACTGGTCCAAATAGTCAATAATCCAATACTTTGCAACTTAATGGTCTCCAGATTTGCTCTGGGAGGTTCTTTTCTGAAGTTTTCTTGACAGTACCTCTAGATTTACAATTTTTTATCTATTTGACTTTTGGGGGAGAAAGTGGCATGAGGCAAAGGATGAGGGAACTAAAACTCTTAAGACATTTTATTAATTTCCTCCTTTCTCAAAGAATTTGAGGTAGGTTATAAATATGTGTGCAACAGAAAAGAAGCAGTAAACTGGTAAGTGAAGAGGGGTATGGGTGAACAAATAAAGGGTAGGGGAAGACTTGATGCAGAGAAATGGGAACCATACAGCCTCAGCAGTTCCTAGGGGTAGGTGGTTCCTAGGGTAGGTGGTCCCAGTATGGCCAGTGGCCAGAATGTCCAGGGAAGTCACCCCATAGGAGAGGCTGGAAGTATAAAGCAAAGAGATTTTGTTTAAAAGTCTTCCATGTGAAATTTTCCCAGCTATATTGGGTAATTTTGTGTGGTTTTTAAACTTACCTGGTGGTTTTAATTTTTTAAGGGTAAATGTTTGAATCAGTATCTTTTTTTCCTTTTTTCTTTTTTCTTTTTTTTTTTTTTTAGAAATTTGATAGAATTCATAAAAAGGTAATTCTGGAGTTTTAAAAAGTGATTACTTTGCACATATCTAAACAATTACAGCAAACATGGAGTAAATGTTTTAAAGAACTTGCTTTGTGAGTTTGTTGTATTGGAAAGTCAGTTTTGGAATCTAAATATAATAGTAATTTTATAAATAAATACACTGAAATATTAGTGTAAAACTAATATTATCCCATTATCTCAAAAAAGTGTGTCAAATGCAGCATATACAAGCATGCTTGTTATTTAGGTCAGTCCAGTGAATTGTGAGGTAATTTAAGAGAGGGAGTCTTTAACATTTTCCCTTTAATTAAATATAATAAACAAAAATGTAACCTAGAAGTTTTCTGTGCAAGGTCATATAATGATTTCTGACCTTGTTTCAATCTTACTTGCTTAAATTAAAGTGATATCTATCCATTATTATTTAAAATGTAATAGGACTAGTAAGTAGGATACAAAGAATTACCCAATAAAAAATAGTCTAGATCAGTTTCTTAAGCTTTTTTGATCATAAAATATTTTTCAGATTAAATGACTTGACAGAAGTTTCATTTGATAAAGTCTTTTGCTAGCAAAATTAAGTTTCACAGAGTAATTATCCAATGAAAAATTATTTAAAAATTTTAATTGAATGTGTTTAGGCTACATGGTAAAAATACTTATGAAATTACAAATGTGTTAAAATAATACGAGAAGCAGAAGCAGCATCAACACCAAGTGCAATCGAAATGCAGTGGTTGATTGATGCTGCTTGTTTGTGCTCAGGGTACGCCAGTGGAAGGAATTTCTGCACGCAGGCCTTGGTGATTTCTCCAAGGAATTCCTGGTACCTTAGGGCAAGACATACCATTTTAAAAGGCAGAATAGAGTATGATAGTAAAAACAAGTGTCTAAATATGTTTTATTTTACCTTTTTTCAAAAATGTATTTTGGGAGAAGTATGTTGCTGATATGTTTTTAAAATTACTAGTGCCCTGGAGAACACTGGAAATTTTTTTAATCTTTTGCTGACTAATACCTGGTTCATCTTGGTTTCCAGCTCCCGGATGGCCGCATCATCAAAGTTGGGGGAGAGAGATTTGAAGCACCGGAAGCTTTATTTCAGCCTCACTTGATTAACGTTGAGGGAGTGGGTGTTGCCGAATTGCTTTTTAACACAATCCAGGCAGCTGACATTGACACCAGGTACGTTAGAAATGGTCGTTTCTGAGTTATTTATCAGAAGTAGGTGGGATACAAATAGTTGGAATGATCAAGTTGTCTGTTTTCTCATTCATGTATTTTAATAGATAAGGCAAATAATTTTTTGTTAGGCTGGCAGTCATTGTTTACCACATCACATCATTGTGCCTCAGAAACCATTTTAAATTTTTTATTTCAAGATCATTTAAAACTTAAATAAAAGTTGCTAGAATAATAAAGAGAACTCACACATACTTTTTATCCATTTTCCCAATCTTCTATGTGATTTAGTGCCCCCTCTCTTTTTTCTTGGGCTGTTTGAGAGTAGGATGAATATGTAAATCCTCTTTACCCCTTAATTCTCTTTGTAGTTTCTAAGAATGAAAATACTCCCTTATGTAGCCACAGTGTAGTTGTCCAGTACAGGAGTTGATTACTGGTAACATTTTTATCTGCCTTCCATATTTCAGTTCTGTCCACTGTCCTAATAATGTCCTTCATACAGTGTTTTTCTTTTCTCTAGGAAAGGATCAGATTGAGCATCACACATCGTGGTAGCTGGCTCCTAATCACCTTTTACCCACTACCAGGCCTCAGTTCTTCATAATATTGATGTCTTTGCCGAGTGGCAGCCAATTATTTTAGAGAATTTTTCTCAATTTGGGTTTAAATGATTTCTCATGGTTAGATTCAGGTTATGCATTTCGGGCAAAAATGGTGCTTATGTGATGTGTCCCTGTGAGGGTCTCACATCCAGACGTGGTGTCTGTTCCTTATTGGAGATGTTAGAGTTAAGCTCTTAGTGAAGTTTTCTCTTCGCTCCACTGTATAATTATCTTCTTTGTCCATTCCTGATTTGTAAGTAATTTGTGGGAGAAGACTTTGAGATTTTGTAAATCTCCTGTTCCTCTCCAAACTCTGCCCTCCACCTCTTTTAGCATTTATTGGTGACTCTTGCCTAATTCTGTTTTTATTGTGATTTTTGCAAGGTGATTTTCTAATTCCATCATTCCTTCTATATTTCTTAGTTGGCCATTCTAGCAGAAGGAAGTACTTTTCCTTCTCCCTTGTTTATCAGTATTGACTCATGATTTTTTCCAGTGGATTATAATTTATTATACTGTCTTTATTTTGCTGCTCAAATTGTTCCTTATTTCACCAATCAGAGCCCCTCCAGGGAGGCTTTATGTTCTTTGATGTGTGTGCCTCCATCGTTTGTTGAGCTCATTTTGTTTTGGGGCACAGGATATTCCTGGCTTGTGTTTAATTTTGTTCTTTGAATAAGTAGACATTAACAGTGTAGTCAAAACTACATTAAAAAGTCTGTGTGGAAGTAGCACTCTCCCCACCCCTCCCTGTCTTCCACCCTAGTCCTCTTCTTCCTCATATAAGTGAATGGTCTCAATAGTTTCAAATTTATCCTTTCTGTGGTTCTTATTTTCTCTTACACGAGAGGTAGTATACTAGAAATACTCTTGCCCTTTGCCTTTTTTTCTTACTATATCCTAAAAATTCTATACCGTATCTTAGAGATTGTCCTCATTCTTTTCTCCAGTTGTGTTCATTCTTTTCCTTTTCCAGTGTATACGTACCATGGTTTAGTCAATGAATCTTAGTTGTGTAGGTAGATTCCAGTATTTGTGTTGACAAATAATGTTGTAAATAGTAATCTGGTGCACACTGTATTTTTATAGTATTGGGCATGTATAGTCTGAAAATATTTCTAGAGGGGGAATTTTGGAGCCAAGGGGTAAAGTGCAGGTAGTTTTGTTATTGCTCATCATTCCCACCAGTGACATCACGGGCGCCTGTGTCCCCACAGCTTGTTCAGTTTGTCAGCCTCTTTACTTGCGTGCTGGTCTGGTGAGTGAGAAATGACAGCTCAGTGTCGTTTTCATTTGCATCTCTCTTGAGAGTGAAGCGGAACAAAATTTTTCTATGTTTAGGACCATTTTTATATCTTTGTCTAATAAATTACCTGTTTATGGTTCTTGCCTGTTCTTCTACAGAATTTTTGTAATTATTTTCCCTCCATGTTTAAGTTATTTTTATATTAGCTCTGTATGAACTGTCACAGATACATTCTCCTAATTTACTGTTTATCTCTTGCTTATGGTGTTTTTAGCCATACAGAACATGTTTTTATTCAGTTGTATAAAAAGATATATATATATTTTTTTTATTGCGTCTAGAGTTTGAGTCATAGTTAGAAAGCCCTCCTGTACGCACAGGTTATTGAGGAATTCACTCAGAAGCATTTGTAAAGCAAGTGTTTACTTACTCGTTTGTTTAACCTTGAATTAAATATCTACCCAATTTTTATGGGATGGCTGGGGAGCAGGATAACAATGGAAATTAATAAAAATAGCAATTGGCCCATAAGATTAATCTAATGGAAGATAAAATACCTGATCTAGGCATTGTAATTACGGTAAATTTTCATAATAGGAAGTAGATGGATGCTTTTGTCCTTTGATTTAATGATCATTAATAGCAAAATTGCATTTTAAAGTGGATTCCTGTTTAGGAATTAGGCATTCCTAAAACCCTGGAGTTGAGTCCAGTACCCTCTGCATAGACCCAGCATTGGCAAAGAACACAGCTCAAAATCGTGTCTGTGTGTTCTCCTTATTGAGACCGGGCACTTACCACACGTGGCCATATTTCACCTGCTTGGCTTATGCTACACTCAAGTGCCCACTCCTGCAATTAAAAACAAAACCACTGTTCTTCTAGAAGCTAGAAAGAATTACAGCAGCCTGAGCCACTGAGAACCTGGGAGTAAGTTAAAACATGGGAGCCAGTGTGGATGAAGCCAAAATAGAGGTGGCTCCTGAACTTCACTGGGAGAAGAGGTCCTGAGACCCTCACTCAGATGATATTACTTCTACTACATACACAATTATTTTAGATTTGATTATTTGATATTATAACCAACAGCATATTAAAGGAAAGAAGAGAGGGTTTGCTAAAGGAAGCTGATACACCAGTCTAACCAAAAATAACAGCACTAGCCTCAAGGCAAAGGGACAGAGGGGGAAACTGCAAAAGGCATTTAGAGAAATTGAAAAGCAAGAAATGGAAACAATAGAGTATGGTTGTTAAACAGCCACATCTCAGAGGTTCCAGGGAAGTACCGTGATATCACTGTCCCAGTGCTGAAAGTTAGTAATATACACTGTGGTCATTATTAAAAGACTCAGCTACATTTGCAAGAAAATAAGTCATGCTTTAGAAGTATTTTCATCAAAATTAATAACCTCTATTTTATGTGAAAAGAGCATCTGTTATAAAATAACAATAGTAATTGCAAACATTAAGCTCTGTGATTTACATCTTGAATTTTATTTAATTCTGCCGGCAACCCCCTGAGGCTGCCATAAATAACAAGAACTCAGAGATAGTTTTTCTAATCTGAATCCCCAAATGAATACCTATTGTGTCTTTCTAGATCTGAGTTCTATAAGCACATTGTGCTTTCTGGAGGGTCTACTATGTACCCTGGGCTGCCATCACGGTTGGAACGAGAACTGAAACAGCTTTACTTAGAACGAGTTTTGAAGGGCGATGTGGAAAAACTTTCTGTAAGTATCTGTCAACAATCCAACTGTTAAACATACTTTAAAATCCTGTAAAGTAGCTTTTGCATCTTGACAGCCACCAGAGGGCGTGGAAAGTCTTTCTAAACAAATTTCTAATGCAGCCAAGAACGGCCTTGAAGAAAGAGGAAGAAGTAAATGGTTCAGGATCATAAGCTGTGTCCCAAAATGGTCATACTCTGGTCACCTGGGTATTCAGTGGATGCATACGACTAGGTCCAGGTCCAAGCATTCTAGATTGTTGACCAGTAGCCTAGAATTGAGGAGTCTCTAAACCTGTGGGAAGAACTTGCTGTGCTGTGGAGGAATAAATGCCCCACTTGGTAGGGGTTTCTTTTTATATTTAATTAGCTTTCAGTGCTACTCTTGGACTATCTCATAGTTCTGATTCTCAGTTATTTTCGAGCTATTACTTGCATGTGTCTTAACTCCCCAAGTTATAAAATAAATACATGTCTCCATATATTTGGAGACATAATTAAAATATGTCTTGAATTTTTTTGCATCCCCATCAACTATCACAGCTCCTGAAACAAATTTTTCTTGGTAGTTGTTGATGCATAGAGTAGAAAGAAAATTTTAAACTAGTATGTAATCATCAGTGGTTGTTTGACATTGATTTTTTTTTTCTTATAAACTCTATACTGTGCTCTCAACCAACAGTCATTTAGTTCTGAACTAACCTCGGGGGTTTGTCTCACTGACTTTGATCAGTTGTAATAAGTAACGAGATTACACAGTAGAGGAACACACATTGGAGACACTAATTTCCATTTCTCATATGCGACTCAGAATTGACAAAGTGAAATTGAATATGAGCACACACACATTGAACAAATTAAAAGACTGAAAGGAGCCATATTGTCTTAAGTACTTCACTCGTCTGATTTTCTTGAGTTATAAATATAATTTAAAGTCAGTTTCAGGTGATTATTTATTCAGCATATGAAGGGTGGGGCAAAAATAGATTTACAGTTGTATGTGAACCATAGAGTTTATTCTCGCATTATTACTATTTCCCACATGAATGACTAAACAATCCTACTTTTGCCCTTTAGCCCCACCCTGTATTTGTTGAACTCCTGGGAGCCAAACACTGGCCTAGATGCAGAGATAAACAAAACAGCGGTAAACAAAACCTAAATCCCTGCTCATGAAGAATAACATATCAGTAGTAGTGAGCACTGAGAAGTAAAGTAAGGCTGGGGTTGGAAAGTGGAAGGAGTTGGGGAGGTGGTGTGTTCCTTTGGAGCGAAGCAGGGAGGTTGTCTGGTGAGAAAACTTCTGAGCAGAGAGAGACCTGAGTGGGGTAAGGAAGTGAGCCAGGTGACTGTCTGGGGGAGGAACCTTCTAAGCAGGAAGAGCAAGTGCAAAAGCCCGTGTGGTTGGGAGTTGGTGGGAGCAGGCGAGTAGGGCTGGAGGCCAGTGAGCAGTGCGAGGGCTGGGGTGTGGGGTCAGAAGGGCAGTGGGGGTGCGGGTTTCTTTCAGCCACAGCAGGCTGTGGCTTTACTGAAATAGAAGACTTGGATTTTTAGCTAAGAAATGATAGGATAGGATTTGTTTTTAAAGGGTTGGTAAGTCTGGTTTGAATAAGGCTATTGAGGACAGGGAGAAAGGTTAAGAGGAGGAAGGAGGTGGTAAAATAGGGGAGAAGGAGTGAAACGAAATGTGGAGAGTGGAAGAGAGGAGAAATACAGGGTCTGGCGGGAATACGGCTTGAGTATGGTTGGTAGGGTGTAATAATAGTTTTTTAACTTGAACATTTCACCTGTCATGATGAGCTTTGTGACATTGTTATGTTACAGAATTACATGCTTATGATTTTGTTTATTAAAAAAAGTAGGGGGCATTATTTGTGCCAGACTCTGTATAATGGGATTGCTGAGCAGAGTAAGGGGCTCAATCGAAGCGGTACATTTGAAGTAAGAAGATGAGTTTCTCTCCTGTGGTGTTCAGTTGCTTTAGGACAGGTGTGAGCAGAGAGCTGATCACCTGAATCGCAGTTTTGTCAAGCAGGTGTGAGAGGGAGAGGACAAAGTCAGCAAGGATAATGGCAGGAATGATGGAGAGGGCACGCACACTCAGGCTGTCAGAGCAGGTGTGAGGGGGACCCCCTGGATGATTTGGGCCGGGAGCGGTGGATGGGAGTAGCCTGAGAGGAGTCAGAGGGGCTGTGGAATTGTAGGGATGGAGAGAGGAAAGCAGCAGTGAAGAGGAAGAACTCCCGGTGCCAAATTTCCGTGGGCAGGAAGGGAGCCGGAAGGCACTGCAAGAGAAGCAGCAGCCAGCTGAGAAAGCTTCAAGGGCGACAGGGTCTTCAGGGCAGCTGGAGCGTCCCTTAGAGCAGGAGTGGCCGGCTGCAGCCCTGTGCCACACCGGCTGTCTTGTAGTAGTTTTTTGGGAACACAGCCAGGACTGTTCTTTTGTATGATGTTACCTATCGTCACATACTGTCTATAGCTGCTAGAGAGACCCTTAGAGCTTGAAGTATTTATTTACTCTCTGGCCCTTTACAGAAAGAGTTTGCTGACCCCTGCCTGAGAGCAAAATAGCAATTCAGAACAGTTAGAATAGTAGTTGAGCCTCAGAGATGATAACTGCTGTTTTTCTGTGTCATGTTATCAGATACTACAGTTCACTTATGTGACATATAGACAGTTTAGAATGGCATTGTTATTTTGAGTCCTTTTTCTAAGTGTTAACTGCCCATACAGATTGAGGTGTGTCCTTGTAAGACCATTAATGCTGGCCATAAGTATAAAACTTTTTCAACTTGTCTTTCATTTTGGATACTGTGTTTATTTCTTCCAGTATTCCCATGATTTATTTTGACTCTATTTGGTCTTTTTTTTTAGAATATTTTGTTTGAATTTGGGACAGTAGAAAGTAGATTTGCTCGGAAGAGCCTCAGTCTTTCTCTATTGCATGGGGCTACATTTATAGCAGCGTTAGACCTTGAAGAACTGTAGACGTCCTCTTACCTGAGCTCTTCATTTAACAGCTAGCTGCTCCGTGATTGACCCATCTGTTCACCCACCATTTGATGAGGAAAGCTGGCACAGTCAGAACTCCTGAATTCAGGCTCACAGCAGGGCACCTGGATAGGTGCTGTTAATGATGGGGTAACAGGTGTAAATCGGGACTGTTTCTGAACACACTGGCTGTGAGTTTTGGGCAAATTACAGAATGTCTCAGATACCAAATCCTGCTGTCCTACTTACATCATAGGACTTGGTGAGAATTCAACAAGAGAATACATGGAAAAGTCATTTTTATAAAGCTGAACGCGCTCTGCACACGTGACATTTATCATCTCTTTCTTCTGTAGAAATTTAAGATCCGCATTGAAGACCCACCCCGCAGAAAGCACATGGTGTTCCTGGGCGGTGCCGTCCTAGCAGACATCATGAAAGACAAAGACAACTTCTGGATGACCCGGCAGGAGTACCAGGAAAAGGGTGTGCGTGTGCTGGAGAAACTCGGCGTGACTGTTCGATAAACTCCAAAGCTTGTCCCCATCACACCCCCGATGCTTACTTTTTCCCTTTATTGCTAATCTTTGAACTTACTAAACTCCAAGACGTGGAAGAGGCCTCTCTTTGCCCTTTGACTGGAAAGGTCAGATTTTATTCTGGTGTCTTGGAGAATCTTCGTTAAATTTTTGTGCAGTGGGTAAATCTGACTATTTAATTCAACCACTTCCTTACAAACACAAGGAGAGGGCAGAGGGTTGTGTCTGCTGCTTGGTTTCTTCCTGTAGGCATTTAGATCATTCCTGTAGGCTTCCAGTTTTCACTTTACTGCTCTAATGCTGCTAGTTTTAGCACACTAGGGGGTATGCCTTTCTTAGCATAAGAAGAAAACTTTTACGTGTTATTGGGGGGGGCGGTGAGGGATGGGTGGGCAGCTGCTGAACCCTTTATGGCATTTCCTCTGTAGTGTGGCTCTTTCAACAGTTACTGGTACAGATTCAAGTACCTTAAAGCTCTAGTATTAACATTTTTGAGGAATATCAGGCTCCGAACTAAAGTGTTTTATGTGGGATTTTGTGTAGGGGTGAAAGGCAGTTACTGTCTTTTGATTTTGATTTTTTTTATTTTTGAACTGTGTTGCTCAAATGATGAACTTTATTTACCGAACTTTGATTTGGCAGGTTTTCTTCTGGTTTTGGTCTGCCTGAACTGTTTCCATATGATACAGAAAACAAGGATAGTATCCCATTACCTTGTGGCTTAAGGATTTGGCTTTTTAACATCAACCATGTAATCTGGAACTCGACTCCCTAAAATCTATCAATGAAAAAGTAGCGTGTAAAAAGTACTAGTGGACATTTAAATTACAGATTTAAAAAGTGCTAAAGAGCTGGTCTTTTCTCAGTGCTTCTGCTTATACCAGAAGCATTAAGGTAACCAACCCAGCACCAGGTACCATTCTTGGAAATAAATTATTCTTTTAGTAGGTAGCTGACCAGTGCTTATTTAATAAGAAAAGAAAGTAGATACATATAAATAATTACTGGCAGTAGGTTATAATTGTGGGATTAAAAATAACATTGAAATATGGGACTTGTTGCCAGTTGGGTAATTTTCATTAGTTTTCTATTTGTTTTGATCTGAAACTTGGTCGTGAAGTAGAATTTGAATATTTAAAATGTTGGCCAGGAAAAAAAATCAAGATTTAAATCTGTGTCTGTATTGAAAATTTAATCATAATGACTAAATCTCAGTCATCTATCTTATGCTTGACTATGAGTTGTCGGTAATTTTTAAATGTTCACAGACTTTCTTGCCTATTTCAGAAAGTCATATTTATGAATCCTATCAGAATTCCTTGGTATCTGAAAAAAATATCAAATGGTACTCAGGCATGAATTCTTTCTAAATTTGAAAAATAAAGTAATAAATTGTATTGCACTAAATACAAAATGTAGATTCTGGGAAAATGTTTTTTTTATTTCAAAAATTTTATTTAAAAAAAGAAAGCTTTGCTTTGAAAGGAACTTTTTAAGGTTTTTTTTTGGACAATTTAAATTGGAGAAATTATTGGCTTTAGCGAGTCTTGTGAGAAAACTTAAAAAGTCAGTTTATTTTAATTTTCATTATGCAGCTTCTGTTAATATTAAGTACTTGTTCTCTGTTTTACCTCAATTTGAACAAATAAAAGAAGTTTGCCTGCATGCTGGACATGCTTCGGTACATGTGAATAGCCCGTGAAAAACATCTGCTAGATTTTAGGGCTCTGGGTGTCAGAGTACTTTGGAATTCTAGAGTAGTCCTAAATCACGTTCTTGTAAATCCCCAGTCTTCTGCACACTGGGCTTTCTAAAGGACACAAATGTAGGGCCAGTACCTACTGAGCTGTTCATTTCAGGTAAATGGATTGACTCTGGGCCTCCGGTCATGATTTCATAACACGGGGGCAGAAGACAACAGGGCGGGGTGGGCTCTTCAACAGACAACGGAAGAGCATTCGGCGTCTGTCCCTTGAATGTAGAATTTGGCTTTAATTTCATAATCAGCTAGCAAACATGACATTAAAGTGGTGGTATTGATAATATATAGTATAATTTTAGATTTTCATTTTATAATTTTCCTATTCCAAGATTAAAGAATGCATTTAGTAGTTGTAGGGGTGGGAGAGATAATGTGTTTAATTGGAGTTGTCTAGTACGAGTTTCTCAAATTAAAATTTTTTCTGTTTTAAAAGAGATCCGATTTCTAGCTCTTAAACCATTGTCATTTAAATTTTTAAAAACGATTAAAATTCTTCTCTTTTACAATTAGAATTGCCAATACCTTGACCCTGTGTGTGTCTTTTTCTCTGACGCGTGGTATTGGGTGTAACTTTCACAGGTCTGAGCGCTGCTGACAATGTCAGGAAAGCGTTTTGCGAGCTCAGTGGCAAGTTAAATATTCTGAGTTTAACATGAATACACTTTTTTGATTCAGAAGATAAAATCATATTTTTCAAAGTAAATCTGAATTTTGGTTTTGTTTTCTCTTCAGTTTCATTTTCTTATATTTTTATAAGTGCAGATAGATTGACAACTGTATGCTAGTTGTTAGGCCAAGTTCAGGTTAGTGTTCTATTATTTGACCCAAAAAACCCTCTTTATTTCTGGTATGACTTTAAACACATAAGGGGTGGGAGGACAGATGAAATAAGAGCAAATTGGAGCTACAACTTTTATCAAATAATTTTTTTCTCAAGACACTGTTTTGTTTCCCAGAAGATACACTGTGGCTTTTGCAACAGTAGAAATGGTAGATAGACCTACATGTAATGTGCCTCTTTTCAAGGATATTTCCACTCATCTGCAGACTTTTAGGCATATTATTTTTAGTAAAATAACTAAAGAAAGGATGAAAATTTTATTAAACTGACCCTTTCTTGCTTTCATACTTGCCTTTGAGGATGGGGCCTGGGAAGTAGACTTCAGCGTTTTTGTTTTCCCTTCAGGAACTTGCATGCTTGAACCTCACTGTCCCCTTCATGGCCAGAGTACCCAGGACCTCCTGAGGTTTGCCTCGGGTGTCTTACCCAGTCTGTCCTTAGTTGCCTGGAGTAGAGTGTCACAGCTCTCGGCACATGTTACAGGGGACGAAAATACTGGTCACTGCATAAAGTGTCCTTGTGGACCAAATGAAAGTCTCAGTGTTTTTCTTCACCTGCTATACAATCGAATGCATTTATTAACTATACTAATTTTAGAAACACCAAAGATACCCGATTAAGGTGACCTGGAAACTCAAGGATTGATTTTAGTTCAGTATTTAATATGCTATTTAACCTGAGACTATTTGGCCAGCTGCCCACAGTACCTGGAGTGTATGTAGGGCCATTTTTTAACATCAACTCAAACTCTGGGACCTATTAAAAGATTAAAAATGCTACATACATCTGAGGTGAGTTTGGGGAGTGAGGAGTACATGGGAGAGCATATTTGTATCAAATATTCCAATTCGTGCCACGAACAGATGGGAGAAATCTGACTGGGTCGGGGGAATCCAAATGGTTTCCTCCTCTTTGGCAGAACAGTTCCTGTCCTGCCTCATTTCTACACTCAGTTTCTTTCACCCATGAGAGAAAAAAAGACTGGAAAGGACTACAGATAATTTTCTTTGAAATAGAAGGAGTACTTTATGTTTGTGTTGATCAGTTGACAGGTGTGATTTGGGAAGGAACCAATCACAAATTAAGACAGTACAGTTTTCAAGTCCGGGGTAGACGCCTGAGAGCCCTGCCTTTTGCTATTTAACATCAGGCTGAGCGTTTGCCTAGTGAAAGTTATTTATTATTTATTTTTTTAAATTAGTAAGTAAACTAATGAGCTGCTTTGCCCTTCCTTGAATGGGGGCTTGAAAAAGTGGACCCAGATGCTCAAGAATAATAATTCTACTCATAAAAAAGATGATAGCCCTGGCTGGTATAGCTCAGTGGATTGAGCACAGGCCTGCGAACCAGACGAGCGCAGTTCGGTTCCCAGTCAGGGCACATGCCTGGGTTGCAGGCCAGTTCCCAGCAGGGGATGCATGAGAGGCAACCATACATTGATATTTCTCTCCCTCTCTCCTTCCCTTCCCCTCTAAAGATAAATAAATAAAAAATCTTTTAAAAGATGATAAATATTTGAATTCTTACATTTTTATATACATTTAATACTACAAATACTTGAAATATTACTATCAAATAAAGATTGACATTTAAACAATTCAGGAAATTCTGATGTTGAGACCTGCCACAATATTAATTTGGTCTTTTTGTTAGAGAAACATGATATTGTGCAGGGGTGGGGATTATATTGTAGACCTATCACCAGATTTGCATAAGATACTTGCAGGCCCATCTTACTTTAGGAAACTAAGGATTTCCTGAGTGAGAATTCTGTTAACAGCTCATATTTACATATTTCAGGCCAACTTAGTGTTTGGAGAGTGAGAAATTTGAGCTTTAACTGAGGCTCAAGTGTCAAAAGTAATTTGATAATACACATCTGATTTGAAACCAATATACCTCCAAATGTGTGTTTTCTTAGATTTAGAAATGAAAGTTTCTGGCAATCAAGTTAAGAACTTGAAAAGGAATGTAGGTTTGAAACCTAAAACTGGGGTGATTAAGTGTAAAGGACCTTGAAGATCATTTAGGGGGGCCATTTTGCCTATTTTGTTTTTATTTAGCGATTTAGGTGGGGTTTAATACGTTAAATATCCTACAGGAAATGGTGTAGCCAGAGTATAATCACCTGATTTTAAAAAATAGTAAAATTATTTGTCCCTCAGTGTCTTTCTCAGTGTGAAGTCCAGATTACACAGAGTGTTTAAAAGTGTGGCTCCTGAGCCCCACTGCGGACCTACTACATTTGACTCGGGCGCCGGGTTTGCCTGTTCTTCAGCTTCGCTGATGGGCCTGACCCTGCCAAACCTCTCACTCCCCTGTGGTAGGATGTTAACAGGGCAAACAGGCTCTGAAGTGAAATCCACTCCCCCCAGGTCCACACCTGTGTGCCCTTGCCTCGCTCTGCTGAAAACTCGTGGAGCTTTTAGCAGACAGGGTCAGCTGGCATGCTCACCTGCACTGCACCTCCACAAACAAATTTTATGCTCCTGGGAAGTTTAAAGCATCATCAGTCATTTACACATTTGTGTCAACTGCAAGGAAGTTCAGTGACCCAAACCAGGCACCTAGTGAAGATTAGCCACTCCGGTTCGGTTGAGGGGAAGGTCTGTAAGGTTGGCCTAAGGAGTACCTTGGAGACAATGGGCAGACTCCAGAGGAAAAAGAGAACTCAGTGGGGCAAGGTTACTGTAGGGACTCGTGTAGATGGGTGTTGGGTGCTGGAATGGTGAAATAGAGCAGACTGCTGACGTCAAAATCATTCTTCGAGATGTTTTCTCACTTCTGACTTGCATGGTTCCCAGTTCCCTGAGTTTGAGTTAGTTCAGCTCGTGCTGCAGCTCAGCTGCTTGATGGATTTAAATGAGTTGTAGTCTGGCCAAGGAACCCACCTACCAGATGTAGCTTTACTTCTGGAGAGGAAATATCTGTGTTTCAACTTCCATGCAACTGACACACAAATGAACTGGATGCAACTTGGAGACCGCCTATCTATATATATATACAGTTCTTCAAATTCTGAGTTTTTTAAAAGAATAAGCCCAGTTGGTTCCAAAATTTGAAAGCTAGTGATTAGGTAACTAGCTGCAGGTGAGTACCTACCTGCAGGAGCGAACTGAAGTGACCAGATGCAGGTGAGGTGGTTAGCTTTCTAGTGCGGGAACCCACTCAGAAGGAGCTGGCTGGATCCTCTGGGTGAGTAGGAAATAATTTTTATCTTCTGACCTTAATTCTACAACCCACGCAAGCTTCTCTCTAAGTGAAGAGTGTGTCGATGATACTGGGTGCATTTTTTCTCTGCCTGCATATGCCATTCCTTTTCGCCGTGAAAGCTGCTCTTAAATTTTCCGTTTCACCGAGAGCACGCAGCAAACAGCCTCCAGCCCTTCGGGCACCAGGTCTTACCGCATGGTTAGCTGGAAACATATCAGGGTGGTGGTGTTTTTAGAAGCCTTGATTTTCATGAAATCTGTCCAGAAGTAGAAATGTTTAGTTGTGCATAATGACCAATAGTCGTTTTAATGACTGCTATCAATAAATTTCTTATGACTTAAAAAGTGATCGAAAACTCGCAAGGTCTCTTAAGGTAGAATGTTCTTCCCCAAGTGGATTTCTGGGGTGTCAGCGTCTGCTCTCCACCTTTGTCAAACACAGGTCCGGGTGGTGTGCCGGGGACACTACCTGCTGACTTTAGGCTACCATTCTTTTAAAATGGTGTGACAATTTTACGGCTCTAGTTTTGGTTAATTCTGCCAGTCTCAGAAGAGAGTTGGCTGAAAATTATCTTTCTCCTTTCTACTGCGTATATGTGGCATTCTTTTATGTCTTCGACTTTTTGGCGGGGGGGGGGTCATACCATTGAAAAGAAGCTAGGATTTGTGGCATAGGCCAACTAAAATCCTGTCTTAAGTGCTTTAAAAACTGTAAGAAAGGCTTCCTTGAGCTTTCTAAATGGACGTTTTCTTTGTTTTGTTGCATCCGTGGGCCTCGTGAACAAATATGTGAAGGGAAAGATTTATATAATACAACTCATGTTTTAAGAGTCTAAAGAGGTTTGGATTTATGGAGCCAGCTCCCACCCCTGTCCCCTATAGAATCACTGAGACTGGAGGACTTTTGAACATGACCCAGGTCACAAAAACCTTTGCTGTTCCCAAGTTCCCTACAATGACAGTATAAAATGAAATACTGAAGACTACCTTACACTCCTGGAAGGCGAGATCTGTGAGATTTGCTAATTGGCAAACTAAACCGCGTGGTAGCTTGGTCCACTAGCTGATTTTATTTAGAAGCTGGAACCGAAGGAGGGACTTTTTCCACTTAATTTCAATACAGTTAGTACTTTCAAGAATATATCCTGTTTTCTCCAGGCTTGGGGCTTGTCTGCTGAAATAATTAACTGTGAGGCAGACAGGGAACGAATTGCATCTGCAGAGGTGGGACAGTTAGGAAGAGAGGGGGAGATAAACCCCTCGCTTGACTCACAGCTGCCCACCCTGCACGGAGCAGAGCTTGCCAAGAATATCCACGCTGATTTATGGAGGCGAAATGAGGAAACCATTTACCCCAGATATCTTGGATTTGTGACAGTGTCGGTGTAAACTATTTCCACCTCAACCATGAGAGAGTTCTGAGTCTCCAAGGTGTTCCCTCTCACCCACCCCCGCCCCTGTTCTCCCCAGTATT